GCAGGGGCAGGGGCAGGGGCAGGGAACACACCCCTCGTCTCCACCTCTACCTCCACCTCTACCTCCACCTCCACCTCCACCTTCACCTCCACCTCCACCTCCACCTCCACCTCCACCTCCACCTCCACCTCCACCTCCACGTCCACCTCCACCTCCACCTCCACCTCCACCTCCACCTCCACCTCCACCTCCACCTCAGCCCCGTTGCCTGCCTGGCCCAGCGGTGCGGACTCTGGGGACTCCCACTAGGTGCGGACTGGCCTGCCAATGCCTCTGCTGCTGGAGACGTAAGTGCGTACAGTGTGCAGGTGCAGGCGCTGCCGAAGAGCGCGGCGGGCACAGAGGAGCAGGGGCTGGTGCCGGGTCTGGGCGAAGAGACGGGCTGCTGGGCTACTCGCAGAGCGGGCTGATAAGGGGGGGCGCGCAGGAGAAGGGGCAGAGGCAGGATCAGGCGCAGGCGCAGGGGCCCCTGTGCGCGGTAGAAGGAAGGGCTCTGCTGTTGGGAGAAGTGGTCACCAGCTGGACACTGCGCTGCTGGCCAGCTTCTTCCTCAACGGCCTGCTGGGCGACGCACCCTGGCCCCTGCGCCCCTGTCGCTACGCCCCTGCGTCGTGCTGGCGGATCTGGGCGTTTCAGCCCTGCGCTTCGTGACCCCCCCCCACCCTGCACCGCCCCACCATCCCCCTGGCCGACAGGGATGGCACGAGGGGGGTTAAGGTGCGGATGTGTCGCGCTCTAGGCTGTACACGAAAAAGGAGCCCAAGCCTGCACGAGAAGGGGTGCCCGAGTGGCTAGCGTGCAGACCAACTCCCTGCACAGCGTACACCATGCAGGTGTCACAGTACGTACTGAATCGCCTGGTGCCCTTGTCAAGCAGGCCTCCCAGCTGCTCTTGGGCGAGAGGGACCCCCCTAAGACCCTAGAGCAGGTCGCATCCTCGGAGCCTCATCACACTGCTCTTGTTCGAGGCGCATAGTGAAGCAGTGTTGTAGACGGCAGCAGTGGAGGTGCTGGATGGCGGCCGCCTCGCGCAGATTGTGAGCAACGGCGCCTTGCAGAACGACGACGACGTGGCGGCATTCGTCAAGCGGGTGGCCAAAAACCACCCCCCCCCCACACACTTAACCTGCTGCCGGGCGGTCGTGTGATGCGCGGCCCCGACTGGAGTAGGGGGTGCGAGGACGGCGGGCGCGGGTCTGTGGGTGTGGTGTGGAGCAGACGGGGCTGGCCTGGAGAGGGGTGCCAGACGCAGTGCGGGTGCTCTGGGAGTATGTGGGGCTGTATCGGTACGGGTTCCGGGCCGGGACGTGGCCCCGCTCAGTGCGCGGTCTCTTGCTGCTGAGGCCTGCGTGTCAAGGGGGACAGCCTCACCCGCATAGTGAAGCCTGACCTACAGGGCGAGCAGGGCCAGGGCGAGCCGGTGCATACATATATACATATATATGACGCAGGTGGCCTTCCCACCCCAGCGGCGCCTACAGGCCTAGCCCGCCCCGCGCCCCCTTCCTGCGCCGCCTGGGGGTCTGTAGGGGACTGGGAGGGCATATAGACGGGGTGGGTGCCAAGAAGGGCAACGCGCAGATGCCCAAGCCCTGGGCCGCCTCCGCAGCGCAGATGTGCTCACAGGCCTGCCCTGAAGGCTCTGTTCGAGGAGCGCCTGTCAGCAGACGAGAGAGCCGCGGAGGGGGGCAGAGGGAGAGAGACGGGGGCGGTGGGGGCCGAGGTGGAGGGGCTGGGGCCTGGGCTGCACGACCTGTCGGACCACTGGCTGGACCTTGCAGGAGCCCCCACACCCACACCCACGCCCACGCCTGCGCCCGCGCCTGTGCCTGCGCCCGCGCCTGAGTCTCAGGGCTCCGGACGAGCCGCTTACTCTGCTGCGCGGGCCGCACGAAGGGCACCGGGACGGTATTGAGTGGGCGGAGATGCCTTCGTGGTCCCACAGGCGGTCAGGCTGTGCAGATATGCCCAGAGTGGGGCACCACGCGTGTGGGATGGGAGGGTCGTGCAACCTTCACGCTGCGCGCGGGCACCGAGCTCCTCCCCTCCAACTCTGGAGAGGTCTCCTGGATGCCCATTATGCCAGAGACCTCTGCCCCTGCTGCCACCCCCCTTCCCCCCGCCCCCCCCACTGCCGCTGCTGTGCAGTGGGCCGACGTGGAGGAGAGACAGGAGAATGATGATATGGAGGAGAAAAATATATTGACGAGAATGATATTGAGGAGGAGGAGGAGGAGGAGGAGGAGGAGGAGGACGAGAGCGAGGAGGAGAGTGAGGAGCAATTAGATAATGGTCCCGACACAAGTAGCAGTAGCAGCAGAGAGCAGAGGCAGAGAGACAGAGAGCAGAGAGACAGAGAGCAGAGGCAGAGGGGCGGCAGAGGCAGCACAGGCGGCAGATGCAGCCGGAGGGACGCATTCAGCGCAGGCAGGTAGAAGAAGCGCTGTCCGAACCCGTCACAGACAAGGGTGCCTCTGCCTCTGCCTGTTTGCAAGTGCCTTCGTCTGAGGCAGGATCCCCCCGGCACGTGGACCACCGGCTGGTCAGACTGGGCGGAGCACCAAGGCCCCAACAGCTTTCCCCGCGTGTGCGTGTGGGGGTGTCCCAGTGTCATGGCCAACTGGCGTGTGTGTCTGCTGGGACCGGGAGCGCGCCAAGCACGAGGGCAGTCTGGAGACTGCCAAAGAGCTGGACAGGGCGCGGGGCGACGATGTGCGGCCTATCGCGCACTTGTGCACCATCCAGCTGCTCAACGCCCTGCTGCCCTGCCCCTGATCGACCTCAGCCAACAACCCCGTAAGAGTCTTTCGAGGTGCACGCAGGAGCTTCAGTCCGCCACACCTCTGCCGGTGCGCCCAACGGACACGTGGTGGGCTACAGAGACAAGTGGCTGAACCCGGGCACCTCCAGCACACAGATGTTGGCCTTCCTGCAAGCTCATCGGGCTATCCGCTCCAAGGAGTAACTAGCTACCTCGCTAGCCCTGATGGTCCGGAAGCTGGTGCTGGACCCGCCCACCAGAGACGACCTGGGTGTGGCCTTCTCAGTCAGGGCGTGGAGATGCGATGCATGGGCCTGAGCGGACCTGAGCGAAGCAGTGGGCGACCCCGAGGTGCAGGCCTTCCAGCGCACCTGCGAGACCTACACCACCTCTAGGTAACCTATTAAACCCTCCCTATCTATGCTAAAACATCTATTAGACCCTCCCTATCTAGCGACAACCGCACCGTGGAGCTGCCGGGTGAAGGTACACTACTACTACCACCACTACTATCACTATACATATAATAACATCACTATTAACACTATATCGTCATAACACTATAGGTGCCGTGGAGGTGACCTACGAGACGCGCGAGCACTACTGCGACCTCGTCATCAACGTAAGCAGCAGCTAGTGGTGGTGGTGGTGATAGTAGTAGTATTAGCAGTAGCACCTCCAGCACCCCCGCACTCCCTTGCACCGCACCCCTTCTCCTACTTCTTTTTGTCTCACTCTCTATTTACCCCTCCCCACCTCCTGCAGCGCGTTATACCCTCACGCGCGCTTCTTCTGGACATCCATGCGTTCGACCACGAGGAGCGGGCCGCGCTGCTCAAGTTCACCTGGGGCCGGACGCGCCTGCCGCTGAGCGCGGGCGAGTCCACGCCGCGCTTCCAGATCCACTTCTTCAACAAGTCGCCCCCGGACGCCTACTACCCAGTCGCGCACACGTGCTTCTTCAGTTTGGAATTGCCTCACAGCACCCTCAAGATACTGAGGGACAAGCGCTACGCCATATTCGACTGCGAGGCCATTGACGGGGACGACGGCAGCTCAGGGCAGTGGGGGGGGTGGGGCAGTGGCCGCCACGGGCTGGGAATAGGCTGGGAATAGGCTGGGAGTAGTCGATTTAGATATACTTGTTGAGGCGAAGAATGCGAATGGAGCGAGTAATTTTGGCGTCTCTTCGAGGAGCGCTTCCTGACCTCTGCAGACCGCGCCGGCAAGCTCATCATGTACTTCCTGGAGCACGAACAAACCTATTTACTCTAAAGAACAGCGACACTACTCTTTAATTAGAATCGGCAATTTAAGCAACTTCCGCGACTTCCGCGCTTTTGCCCTACAACAACTATAACATGCTCCCGCTACTACTGTGGCCACGCCTCAGCGCTCTAAAATTTGCCGCCGCGACCGAGGACCTTGTTTACGACGGACCCGCCGACAAAGTACGTACAGGAGGCGCCGGCGCCGATGACGGCCGCCAGCGCCGCCGCCCTTGGTCCTTTGGTGGATTTGTACAGACCGCCGGTGATCACACCAGACAGTACGGGGACGGTCAGGTAGTGGTCGATGTACTTCTCCGCCTCGGCCAGGTCCAGCAGCGCCACAGAGGCCGTGTGCATGAAGACCAAGATGCCCAGCGCGTTGCCCGCGTTGGACCCGCGCTTGGAGGACGCGTTCAGTATGCTATTCATTTTGATCTTGTAGTTGGGGCTGGAGGCGTTGCGCCAGCCCTCCGCGAAGCCGTACGCGCCACCGCCGAGGAACCCGCTCAGCCAGGCAACGCCTGTGTTGAACGATACCCGTGCAAAGCTGTCCCTACCACGAGGGCTATAGGGTATGTAATCAGGCCCGGCCCCACCCTTGGGCGGTCGGGAGAGCTTGCCAATGTCTATATTTCCTACGTCAGGGATGGAGAAAGGATCGGAACCCTTGCTGCCGCTACTGCTATTCCCGAACATGTCCATGGCTGCCTAGGAATGAGTGTGAGTGAGCTGCTGTCGTAGAGCGCGCGGCAGAGGAGTGTGATACGGGGCGCTGCTTGAAAACCGATTCAGGGCTGCAATTGTGAGCACAGTCTTCCGAAGTGGGGGAAGAGGTTGTGAAGAACATCACTCCCCCAGGACCTTCGCCACCAAGTCCTCCGTCTTGGAATTCCTCCTCTGGGAGAAAGTAGCCTCGTTTATCTTCTTTATACAGTCTTGTTATCAGTAATATACTTGTTCCGTAATTTGGCCATCTGGCCGAGTGGTTAAGGCGGTGGATTCGAAATCCGCTGGGAAATTCTCGCGCAGGTTCGAATCCTGCGGTGGTCGGAAACCCTATTTTTATCTTTTTTGTGGCCACTGCTTTTGTCGCTTCCCAGCTTCTCCTCTCCTGCTCTCCATTCTGCAGGTTCTGGCATTCTGGCGACGTTGACGTCTTCTCATTCTCTTTCGGGGCTGCCAGCATTTCTGATCTGGGAGCACAACCCTCTCTTCCACACCATGCACAGAAGAGCGTTTGCGATCGCCCTCGGTCGGAGAGCTCTCATCGTAGCGGCTGTCTCCCCGGTTCTCTTCGGATCTTCGGTCGCGACCAATGCCAGCCCCACCGACCCGCTCAACTGCGCGATCCCCGCGTGCTCGGACAAGATCAGCATGTTCAAGAAGGCCATGAAGGGGGCGGCAGCCAAGAGCGCACCCGATGGAAAGTCCAACCCAACCCACGCCTCCGCTCCTGCCCCCGCCCCTGCCCCCGGCGTTGCTCCTGCCCCCGGCGCTGCTCATGGCGCTGGCGCTAGCTCTGGCGCGTCCGCGTTGCCCAGCAAGTACTTCGGCTGCCCCGTGGACCGCGCAGAGCTTGGCCGCAGCTCCTGGGACCTTCTGCACACCATCGCTGCCACCTACCCTGACCATCCATCGGCAGACGACCGGCGGCGTGTGCTGGCGCTGATAGACGCGCTCACTTACCTGTACCCCTGCCCCGTGTGCGCGCGGGACTTTCAAGCAAGTGTGGCCCACTCCCCACCCAGGTGAGCACACACGCACACACGCACACACGCACACACGCACACACACGTACACGCATACATAAACATACACACGCACACGCATGCTCTGCTGGCGCTGCTGCATTGCAGCGCACCTGTGGCTGCATGCGTGCCATTACATGACGTTCTCTTC